TATCCTAACTATAAGATAAGGCTAGGGACTAATGAAAGTATTTAGAAAATTGGGCAGACTAGATGGGCCGAATGGTTCTTATCTGCCGTCACATTCTATGTTTCTATATAAACATAGCAGTTTCTCTGAAACTGCTATGTTTATAAAAAAATGGGTTAACCCTAGCTGGACCTGGCACCCAGACCACTTCATTAAGCTGAAGTGGTCTGGGTGCCTAGAGTGGTCCTTTAAGGCTGCCACCAGTTTTGCTGGAGAGGTATATATGTACAAAGCGTACATATAAGATTCCACTAGAATAGTCATACCCCTAAGTAGCTAAGAATTATAAACCTAACATAAACGTAATTGCTAGGTCCTCAGATGCTAACCGCTAACTGCCTCCTAAGAGACTAACTAAATCATGCTTGCCTTATAAGGTCCTACATACATACACCCAACACCACACCAAAATTAAAAAGGTTAATAATTCTTAGCCACTTAGGGGTATGACTATTTTAGCGGAATCTTATATGTACGCTTTGTATCCACATAGGGAACTTTTTTCCAGTTAAGGCTGCCACCAGTTTTGCTGGAGAGGTTACCTCTGTGCTTTGAAAATGTGTGTTATGTGCATGACCATCATAGGGTTTTTTTTTTCACCTCTGTTTTCTGTGTTACCACCTGCAAGGATTTGCACTCTATAACTATTTACTTGAGACTTATTAGTACGTTTTAGTTCCATTTAAGTGCAGCTAGGAGTGATATCCTTTAAGGTGTTTGGGTAACGCATGGGGGAATATGTGCAGTGTGCATGATCTAAATAGAATTGCACTAGACATACTTCCATTTACTTATAAATATAGAGCCTTCCTATGTATCACTACTACCGATACACTGTTGCCATTTAGGCAAGAGAGGCTGACATTATTTGCAACATTTTTGGTTCCTAGTGAATACAGGCAGATTTACATATTTACCTCTTGTGTAGAGACAAACTTACCCCCACTTTGAGACATTTACTGGACATGCCACTCTACATTTATCCTAGCAATTAATAAAGGAGTTTTCCATATCATTTAGCACTGGCTACGTGTGAGGGCATTGTCTTTTAGTTTTCTTTCCAATATGATGTCCATACATTTTTAATTGTTATTTTGGGTTTTCCCCGAAATTTAAACTAGAAGCTCTGGACTTAAAAGGCTATCCAACATTTGTTGGGTTCTTCTTTTGGAACAGGTTTTGGTACTTTTTTTATTTTTATTAAATCTTTATAAAAAAAAATCATTTTTATACAAACATTGATACAAACATACATATAAAATTTCTGCCACAATCTTGCTTAGTATATTCTGTTATCTAAACAGACGTATAGGCATCATTACCCATCCATGTACTTTTAAAAAGAAGGAAGGCAAAAGATTTACAAAACATATATAGCACCCAATAACTTACATCACAAAAAAAAATTAAAAATAATGAAAACATTGATTTTACCGATATGGGTAGATCATCCTTTACGTGCCAGGGTCATTCCGGCCATGTTTTTATGTCCTCTATCCTATCACTAATTCCCTCCCTATCTCCCTTTGTACTTGGGTGAGACTTCGCTCCATTACCAATTGTTGGTTTATTTGTTTTTTGATCTCACTCCAGGTAGGAGGTTATGATTGTCTCCACCTTCATGCTATCACAATTTTAACTGCGACAAAGCAATGGGTTACAAAAAATTGGTCTATTTTATATAAATTTGGCCATTTTAAATGGAGAAGAGCAACTGTAGGTGACTTTATAAGTCTAGGGACATCTATTTGTGCAAGACATTCAAACACTTTATTCCAGCCTCTAAGAATCTTTGGGCAGTACCACCATATATGGATATATAAGCCCTCCTCTTGATTGCATCACCAACATATGTTTGGGTTTATGGCTGATATCTTATATAACTTATCTGGGGTAATATACCATTTATAAATAACCTTAACATGGGTCTCCACATTTAGACAATGTATATTTTTGTTACCATGTGTAGACCTTTCGCCCATTCAGTTGTATCAATTTGATGACCCAGAATATTTTCTCATCTGGGAATTACCGATATATCCAAGGGGGACATAAATGATACATATTCCATTGATGTAGATAGGGGTCTACTTACAATATCTCCGCATAATAGACTAGATAACCTAGAAGCATGCTCAGTTATAAGATCATTTTTATAAAGTTCTATAAAGTTTTTAATTCTCAAATATGAGAATAGTTCATTATTTGGGAGGGAAAAATCTGTTTGTAATTGAGGGAATGTTTTGATATTAATACTATCTAAGTTGGTTTATCTTTTTATGCCATGTCTTATCCAATTTCTTAGCATAAAAATTTAAAATTCTATTTTTTAACTTCAACTTTTTCTTTAACCTATCCCACTCTTCCATTAGATTATTTACAATAAAGTTGTTTTCCCAACTCTGTTTTAAGTTGTTAGGGTCTTTAATATTCTGTATTGCTGTTTCCCAATTTTTCATACTAGTCATATCACATTCTACTAAATGCCAGAATTCTTTTTTATTATTTTGTAGCATTATTAT